CATCCCCACCGTCCAAAATGTCATCCAAAGTTTTACAATGAAGTCTTGTGGGTTACTGTACAAACACATCATTGCTCTGGCCTTTGAAGAATGCTGTCTGTCCATCTCACGGAGCCTCTGGGTGAATTTAAGAAATGAGGAGGGCACGGGTTGTGGCTCAGTGGTAGAGCACTTGCTTAGCATATGTGAGGCACTGGGTTTGATCCTCAGCACCACATACAAATAAATAAATAGATAAAATAAAAGTAAAAAAAATGTTAAAAAATAAAGAAAGAAAAGAAAAAGAAAGAAAGGAAGAAACGAGGGACTCGGGTTCACTTTGAAGTGACAAGTCTGTTTATTTCCCTAGAGACAACTCCCATCCTCATGCTTCTCTGAACATTTTTTTTTCAGTCCTTCCTTGTGTTGAAATTGGTAGGACTTTATGGTTGCCTTTTTACTTTCTCTTCTATCTCTGGCCTAGAAATCAACTCATCTTCCAGCAGACTCCACATCTGGAGAACCCTGATGATTCTGCTTTAGTCTGTCAAAACTTGTTTACCACTCCACCCCTTGGGTCACATTCCTGAAAATGACCTTGTCCTTTCCAAAGGTAAATTTTCCACTGTGCTTCTGGGAGGTATGGAAAAACCACATTCAGCAAGTCTTTTATTTTTTTTAATGTCTTTTAAGATAACATACCTTCTTAAAAAAAAGAGATTAAGTTAAGATTGCTTCATTTATTGGTCATTTAACAGTTTCAAACAAGACTGTGTTTCTATGGAAGTCTAAAATTATTTGGCACTCTTTTCTGAGCTTTGTGAGTAAATGAAAGAAAGAAAGAAAAGAGAAAAGCAGCTAAGAGAGAGGAACAATCCTTTAACAAAACTTATTAGAAGTGACCCACGGTACATCTCTATTTCTGTTACCCAGAACAAAAATATGGGCAATTATATTGTGGTAGGTTTCAGACTATGAATATTTACTTAACAATAATGGTTCCTCAAGGGCCATTATGAGTTATTGGGAAATAAAATATTCATAGGTGTAAAATTGAAATTAGCCTACATGAAATTTTCCTGGAGTTTACCTCTACAGAAAGCATTTTTGTTGAGGAGAGGCCTGCCTGGGAGTTAGTATGCGCTAATATTCACCATAAATAATGAAAAATTCTGCATCAGTGGAATGCTCCTCTCAGAGCTAAGTCAGCCAAATCTTCCAAAATCACAGAGGCAGAACCAACTTACATTTTATGACTCCTGAGGATGACTGCAGAGAGAAGGGCCAGAGGAATTCAGCAGGCAGAGCAGGAGAGGGAGACCTCAAAACAATCAGCACAAGTCTGCTTCCAGATTCTTGATCTCAGCCATCTTTGACTGTAAGTGGTGTGATTTCAGGATCACAGCCCTCAATGCTGGCTGGGTGCTGCAAATGTGACATATTTAAATACATATTTGGGGATGAACTTAAGTTTCAAAAATCCTTAGGAAGAGTGCCATAGAGAGAAGGTGTGTTTCAGAGGAAGAAAAGAAAGAGGCTGTGAGTTTCAAGGCACCAGAGACACAGAGTAGTAAGCTGCTAAGAGGTGGAAAGAACCAGAATGGGACGAGGGCTTGACACCTTAGGTACTCTCGCTCAGCTAAAGTTGGAGGAAGGAAGARCCACCACACACTGTGCTTCTACCAGGGACCCCAGCCAGACTTCCCAATAGTTACCTTCAAGTCCCCTTCTGCTTCTGGGCTTGAAGGAACCCCAAAGCTCCCCCAATCTTTTGCATTAGTCCTGAGAGTCTGAGATCTTTCTTCTCGAGTATGAACTCATCTGCTTTTATTTTATTTTATTTTATTTTTGGTGGGGGGATTGTCAGAATACTTCCTCTTGTATTGTAGCATCAATATTTGTAAACAATGGGTATACATTTTTCAATCCTATATTATACATATAGCATTTTGCAGATGATGAATTTGGAAGGTACATGCAGGAAACAGCTTCAACTGTTCTCTCACAACTTCTTTCAAACATGTTCTTGAAGGATCTCCCCTCCTGTTCCTGGAACAATGATTCAGGCTTTTCATTAACTCTGGACCATCCCAACAGACTTATCTAGGCCTGGATTTCCATGCAGATGCATGTGTGTGAAGCATCACTCTGATCTCTTGTGGAGCCTAAAGTTGAAGAAGACTGGAACATCCTCTCATTCTGCCACATTGATCTAGTCTTTCTGCTGTCAATTCTAGAAATAAATATTAAAGCAAAAGATGTTAAGGAAATGAACAAAATTAATAAAATATTCTCCCAGTGGGCTTCAGTACTCTTCCTGCATTGACTCTGCATTAGCACTGAATAAACAGGAATAACTTCTGTTTCTAGGTCCAAGCTTTGAGCAAATGTGTGAAGTAAGTGAAATGTGGTTTGCATTAGTCCTTTCTGAGAGTCTGTGGTTTGGTCTTTTTCTACCCAAGACATCCTGGAATGAAATGCCCCCACCCCCAACTCCAGGGGGTTTGCACCAGGGTGTTACATCACAGAAGAGCAGCATGGGACATCCAAACAATCCAGATTTGAAACCCAGTCTCTCTCTGGTATAGCCATTTTAGAAAACTAGTAGTGTCTGCTAGATCTGCTGAATAAGTGTACACAGAAGTGAATATTCATTAGAAAAAAGTGCCTATGTCTCACATAAGACATATGTACACAAATATTCAGAGCATTATTCATAATATTTCCAAACTGGGACCAATCCAAATATCCACTAGCTGTGGAATACATAAACACATTCTTCTATGTTTATACTACGGCATACTATGTAGCAATTTGAAAAATGAATTTTTGCTATGCATAACAACATGGAGAATTCCCACAGACTTGAAACCAAGTGAAAGTAGTCAGACAAAAAAGAGCACAAAGTGTATGATGCCATTTATACAAAATTTTGACAGGCTAAAATAATTTCTGGTGGTTGACATCAGAAGAGTGGCTATATATGGTGGGAGTGTTGGTGGGGAGACACGAAAAAGCATTCTGGGGTTCTGGGAATGTTCTGGATCTGGATGGTGACTATATGCATGTATATATGTGTAAACTCTAATGATTTATACACTTAAGATTTGTGTGTTTCACACTTGGCTCTATGTTAATACACTCAATTTTTAGAAACAAATTGCAAAAATTATTTTTTAAGAAGTTAATGAAAACGAATCTCAATCCTCTTACCAATATGTGATCATGGACACGATGTTTTGTTTTTTATTTTAACCTCATTTTCCTCATCTATGAAGTGATTATTGGAGACCTAAGCAGTCTGTTTCATCATTTTTTTAAAATATAAAAACCCAATGTGCAACATTAATGAAAGTGCTTTGAAAAACAAAACTACTCTACTTAGTGAGCATGTCTTAGAGGGAGAGACACATAGAAGAACATGAAGCACCCTCCATTCTAGTTCTGTATCATGTGATGTTTTGCTAACTCTAGAGATTTGTCAAGAGCCTGATGGTCTTGTCAACTCATTAGGCTTGAAGCACCCTTCTCCTGCCTACTTCCTAATGTCAGTGTTATATATATATATATATATATATATATATATATATATATATATATATATATATATTCATCTGCCACATTCCATTATATGTAAACTTCAGACTGCGAAGAATATTCTCTGACCTGTCGCACTCCAATGATTGTGGTTTTACCTCTTGCCTTCTCTTGAGAAGTGCTAATTTTTGTTAATACTTATCTACATGCAAGTTGCAAGGAGTTACATTATCTACAATTTGGTAGACTAACAAAACAGTCTCTATCCTCTCTTGAGATGAAGGTTTGGTTTGTAATTTTGTAAATACTTCTAAGTGCCTCAGGAGTTTTACCTGACATAAGAAACCAGATTCTAAACGTATGCCAGGACCAAATTACCCAAGGAAAATGATTTGTTGATATGGTGCTATTTATTAGGGAAAAAAACCCTTAAAGTCATAAGAGATAAATGTTTATCTCATTGGTCACAAACACAAGGAATTCTGTGTTTTCAGGGAGGCGGTTTCCATGGTAATGCCATTCCCCCGACATGCCATGCTCTCTCACCCTCCATCACTGGAACTGGAGTCTACTCCACACCTCACCCACCGTTACTCCCTAACTGGCTGCTGGACTCTCCTAGAGCAATAGGAGTGTACCCCCTTGCACCATTAATGTTGGGTTTGACCATGTAATTTACTATAGCAAGAGGAATATGTGTTCATCACGGTATTTGAGACATAGTCAGAATTCATACAGGCAAATAAACTGAACTAGTGATACCTCGACTCCTGGGTGGTTTTGAACTACATGCCATTCATTGTCTGTTTGCTTTCCACTTTTCTCCTCTGCACCATTCTGCATCTCTGGGGGATGGGAGAATTGGTCTTGCAAACTGTATTTTTCAGGCTTTTGTCAGTAGGTCCAAGATAGGTTCAGCCACTAAGAAGCAATAACAGTGAAAAGAAGGAAAAGCCAAGTTGTTTCTCCCTCTTTCTCTTCTTGGGAGGAAGAGGATGCATCTCTAACAGGGGCTGCTTCTCTTCTCTATTTCCAGCTCCCATCAGACAACCCTTCCTCCCCATGAATCTCGCCTTTCWGGCCTGCAGTTCTATGAAGTGGCCTGTGTTTCTGGGAAGCAGGGAGGACACATCCTTCCTTAATCCTTCCATCCCTAGGGGTGAAGCAGCTGGCTGTGGTTGCTAATCTCTGGTTTTCCTTGCCTTTCCCTATTTGCTCTTTTAATGTTTCTAATCCCTGTTATTTCCTGTATCAAATTCCCCTTATTGGTTTCATTTTTCAGGCTGGACTATTTCAGAAGCTATGTACAAAATCAGGCTTTGTCTTAAATTCTGGTCCCTTAAGGAGACATGTTTGTTTTCCTCCCTTTTTTGGAGAGGATTCCTGGAAGATATTTTTCTCTATGGCTTCTTTTCCTGGTATTTTGTACTACTTCAGATAAGACTGTATTCAGAATATTATCAGCAATCAAAAAGCTAACTCTGGTGCTTGATTTGGCAACACATATGCTAAAATCAGAACAATACAGAGAAGATTAGCATGGTCCTTGTGCAAGGATGACACCCAAATTTGGGAAGCATTYCATATTTTTTGTGTGAACTAAATAAACTTTTCTATATTGTTGTACTGTTTTTTTTAAAAGAGAGAGAGAGAAAGAGAGAGAGAGAGAATTTTTAATATTTATTTTTTAGTTTTCGGTGGACACAACATCTTTGTTTGTATGTGGTGCTGAGGATCAAACCCGGGCCGCACGCATGCCTGGCGAGCGTGCTACCGCTTGAGCCACATCCCCAGCCCCTATTGTTGTATTGTTGAAAAAAAAAAAAAAAAAGCTAACTGCTCAAAATTGTGAAGATGTCAGCTGTTCATAAATTGATCTATAGATTTGCTATACTTCCTCTCAACATTCTAATGTTTTTTTAAAAAAAATTTTTTTTAGTTATAGATGAACACAATACCTTTATTTTATTTACTTATTTTTATGTGGTGCTGAGGATTGAACCCAGTGCCTCATACTTGAGAGGCAAGCGCTCTGCCGATGAGCCACAATTCCAGCCTTAATTTTTTTTTTAATGGAAATTGACAACTGATTTCACAATATGTATGGAAATGTAAAGAGTCAAGAATAGCAAATACCCACCTAAAGAAAAACAAAGTGATAAGAGCTTTTCCACCAGATAGCAAGACCTATTAAATAATATGATACAGAGAAAGTGTGGTACTGCTTCAAGGAACAAGTAGAACAATGAAATGGAGTGCATCCATGGTCTAGAAGTGTCTAGAAACATACCCATAAATGAACTCTAGATTTTTTTTTTCAAAACAACATTGAAAAACAGGTAGAAAAGGAAAGTGACTTTAATATAAGATTTTCAGGACAATTTGGTGATGATACGGTAAAAAAAAAAAATGTGACCATATTCCTGTCTCATATCATGTTTATTCTGAACCCTGCTTCCTTAAGGAAATATTAATTTTCCTTCTTTATCTTGTTTCAGAGAATTCTTCAGAAATACTCCTCCTGATAACTTCTTTTCTTCTGGAACAAATAGATATAGATGTAAGAGGTAAAATCATAAAAAGTTCATAAGATAATGAAGAGAGAGGRAAAAAAAAGGAAAGCTGAGTCTGAATGTGGAAACTGACTATCGGCCAGGGCTGCCTCCCCCACTCCATTCCAATTGGCAATAATGAAAAGACCTTTCCAACATGAAGGTTTTCTTGATGAGTAATAAAATCAGCCCAAGCACACTCTGAAAAGCCACAAAATGATGTTAATGTGCTTACCAAGGGAGCAAGAAAAAAGGAAAGCACTGGAAAATCAGAATGCAGATGCTTCTGGAAGGTGGTGATTTAAAGGACTATTGGCAATCAGTACATTTTAAAGAGCAGTTGGAACCCTTACATAATTTCAACAGTGGAGAAAGAATCTCTCACTTATCTACATCAAGGAAGGGCCTCATTTGACATCTCCTTTTTCTGTACCCACTGCTTTACAGACGTTTTGAGCAATATTTTTTGGGCCCTTAACATTCTTTTTCTTGTTTTGAAAGAATTTCAGATTTCAGACAAATATAAAAAACAGTATACATATCCCTATACGTTGTTTATCCCAATTGTCCAAATACTAACATGTTGTCCTACTTGCCTTAGCATTCTCTTCTTCTTTTTTTCTACTTCTGTATTTTTTTTTCCTAAAAATTTGAGAGTAAGTTGTACATATGAGATCCTTTTACTTTTAGAGACCTCAATGTGCTTTTCCTAAAAACAAGGACATTCTCTTACATAATCACAGTACTAATTCTCAAAGCAGGAAATTAACATTAGACAATAAGATGATGTAATTCATAGATCATATTCCAATTTTACCAATTTTCCTACAAATATCCTTTTTAAGACGACTACTCTTTGAAATATTCTTTGGCTCTAGTTTTGGTGAGATAATTCCCAGCTTTTTCAGGAAGATGTAGCCAACCACTCAGCACATGCAAAAAGAATTTGAGCCTCATTATTTTTTAGTTGTACATGCAGGCAATATCTTTCCCCGAATGAAGAGAACCCAAATGAAACTTTGCTTTGTTCCCCAAAGCCTGTGTTATTAGAGAAGATTGTTTCTCTTCTCTGTAGGGTTCTTGCCTCATGTTTTTTTTTCCTGATTCCTCATTAGGCTGAGGCAGTTCATGTAAAAAATACTCTGTAAGATGTTTTCATCTCCTCACATATAATAACAAGATACTTTCCTATTTCAACTTAAAAGAAAGAGAGTATGCACAGGGTGTTCTAATTCCGGAAAGCAGGTTATTCCATAAGCCACCCCTAATTCTATGCTTCTGTTATAAAGGAGTAATCAAAGGGCAAAGGGTAACAACCTAAATAAATGTCCATCATTTATTTGACAAGCCAGAAAGAGAACTGGCTTGTCAGACATGGTGGCACACACCTGTGATCCCAGCGACTCCAGAGGCTGAGGCAGGAGCATTGCAAGTTCAAGGCCAGTCTCAACCTTGTCTTAAAAACAAAACCCACAAGGGCCGGGGATGTAGCTCAGTGGCAAAATGCCCTTGGGTTCGATTCCAGTGAGAGAGAGAGAGAGAGAGAGAGAGAGAGAGAGAGAGAGAGAGATGCTTGAATTCCAGCCTATCCTATGTAACAGTGCAGCCATTCAAAAGAAAATGCAGCTCTATAAGTTCCAAACCAAACTAAATCTAAACCATAGAAAGTGACTCTGAAGAGGGGAATTGGGGAACTTGAGAATTGAGACTGAGGTGGGAGTACACCATTTTGTACCCTCTGATTTTTAAAATTATGAGTATATATTATGTTTGGAGGGGTGGGAGAAGTCACAAACGGTAGATACATTCAAAGACCCCACATTGGAAGGAACAGCAGGTCCCATAATCCCTAGCTGTGCTTTCTATTTTTAAAACCATCACTTCCTTTTTCATTTTCCCTGAACGACCATCTAGTACTGTCTCCTTAGCAGGAATCTTTCTCTCAGCTAGGTAGTGAAGTCACAAAACAGACCGAGTCATGCACACACTCTCAGCAGAACTGCCCGCACATGCACACAGCCTCAACTACACGTTTTTAGATTTGGAGGTGTGTGTGTGTGTGTGTGTGTGTGTGTGTGTGTGTGTGTGTGTGTTGTGGGGGGAGAGACGGGAGCAATCTAAACCAGACCCCCTACCTCTCCCGGTGTCGCAGATCTACACTACCTTCCGTCACCCCTTTGCTTCCACCGCCTTACTCCCCACCCCCGCTCCAGACCTCGGAGCCTGGACTGGCGTAAATTTCCGCCTACTTGCGCCACCGCCCTGGGGGGTGCTTGATGACGTCAGGGCCGAGCGAGGGGGGTGCCGCCTTCTGGCTGCCCGCCCCTCCCAGGACTTGCGGCCCCCGCCAGCCCTTTAAAAGAGCGTGGCCTGCGCCAAACGCGCCACACCGCGGGGACCAGGACGCACAGTTGGTTTCCCGAGGCATCTCCATCTCGCCTTCCTTCCGCACCTCGCCTCCCTGGTCCAGCCGCATCCTCTTTCCGCGAAGGTTTGGAAAGTGGGGCCATGCAGCCGGCGGTGCTTCTCAGCATCCTGGGAGCCGCGGTGCTGGCCGGTGAGTGGGCGCGGTGGGCCCTTCAGCACCGCGGACAGCGCCAGCCCCGTTGTCCCCGCAGCTCCAGGCGTCCTGGCTGGCGAATAATGGGAATCGGGGAGGGTTAAGTGCAAGATTTCTCGCTTTACTTGAGGTTATTCATTTCTTCCCATTCCTGGTTGTTTCCCTTAGATTATCCACCCCCGCCAGTGCTCCCCTCTGACTTGGAAAAGCCAGAGGATTCCCTAGCCCAGCCAGGAGAGTCTCGGTTTCGTCCTGTGTGGTCTTGCAGGTAGCTAGAAAGGGAGAAAGCGTGCCGCACCTCCAAGGAAACCCCACATTTTTTGCTCACTTTAAAGCTGTCACACTCTCTCTGCTGGTCTAGAAAGTCGCTGTTGAGGTCTGGATTCTGTATTTGTTTTGACTTTTTATAGCCAGGTGACTACAGAGAGGTGGAAATTATGTAGTATGATATTAGTTGGCACCTGAATAATTTATTTTATTATTATTACTATTACTTCGTAAACAATTAGGTAAAACTGAGTTCCATATCCATAAAAGATAAACCTTTTTCTTAACATATTTATATGTATGTTCACATATATGTGTGTACACATTTAATATATTTCTGCAGTTTGTTTTTTTCATATCTAGAGAGAGGAGATTTCACATTCAGTTAATCCCATTTTTAAGTTATGAATGGAAGCTGCACTAGACCTTTGTACTCCAGAAAAATAACTAGAGTATAAAATGATCACAAAAGTATCTCTGGAGTAGTGGAAAAATATTTTGTTTTAGTCAGGTTGGGAAGATGAAAATTTTAAGTAGTAGATATTTGATAGTTTTTCTTTATGTGTGGAAGATTGTGGGTTCCTCTTTCAAACTACTCTGAACCTCAGAGAAATGATCTTGGAAGATTCAAAGTTGTGTGTGTGTGTGTGTGTGTGTGTGTGTGTGTGTGTGTGTGTTTTGAAGTAAAGTCTCAATGGATAATCAGTCTATTGAGAAGTAAGTATACCACCACCAAATTAAAATAGAGTTTTCTTTAGCTGTTTTGATGACCTATCGGAAATTATTTTCTTCTGAGGTTGATATTCCTGTCTAGAATTGAGATATTGAATATTCATAGCTATACCCATATCCATGAGTATGAAACTCTTATTGACAGCAATTTCTGTGTCAAAAAAAAATGTTGAGACAAAATTAAAGCCAATGGTAATTTATTTTATTGGAAACTACATGCATTCAGGATTTTCTAAAATCATTGTCATGCTTGCAAATTGCTAATAAATGTTCTCAATTTAATTAAAGGAAACCAAATGAATAATTTAGAATTCTTTATGGTCAAAATATTTTTAAAAAGTAATTGCATAAGAGGCCAAAGAAATGCTATCTATTGTGTTATAGACTAAAAAAAAGTGACATTTGTGGGACTTAAATAAGTGGGATCAACTATGATGATAAAATACAGATTTTTCTTTCATATAAGAGAATATTGTAATC